CATTTGCTTTCTACTTGAGGCCTTGGTGTCAGCTCCTCATTTTTCCCCCTCCCTCCCCATTCTCCTTCTCTCCTGAATCCTTGATAATTTATAAATTATTATTATTATTATTTTCATTTCTTACAATGTCCGATATCTCCCTTCACCCACTTTTCTGTTGTCCACCCCCCAGGGAGGGGTTATATGTAGATCATTGTGATAGGTTCCCCCTTTCTCCCTGCTTTCCCTTACCTTCCTGGTATTGCTACTCTCATTACTGGTCCTGAGGGGGTTATCTTTCCTGGATTCCCTGTGTTTCCAGCTCTGATCTCTACCCGTGTACATCCTCTGGTCTAGCCGGGGTTGTAAGGTAGATCATGATAGTGGGGGGTGGGGAAGCGAAGGGGGGAAACGAAGCATTAAAGAACTAGGGGAAAGTTGTAAGTTTCTTCGGTGCTAGACTGGTTCATCTCCTGCCTGCGACTCTTCTCTAAGGGGATGTTATTGAAGTTTTTATTTTTCACTTCCAGGTTGCTTGTGCTTTGTGGTTACTTTCCAATTTCAGAGTAGTTTGTTGTATTTTGTGATCAGATAAATACTTTCTGCATTCAATATTTATTGTCTATTCTGTTACCTCTGCTCTTGCTTGCTTATTTATTCATTTACTTATATCTTAATAGCAGAATGTTGTCTATGAGTCTTTGCCTTAATTTGTTTAGTTTCACTTCACTTTGAGTATTGTTTAAATACAATGTTTTCTCCATAGTAATTTCTTTTCTAAAGTTTTTAGGCTGCTGTCTGTTGTTGTTATTGATTTTCTGACTACAGGGTTCCTTTTAAGATATATATATCTCTTAATATTTATATTAAGGGGGAAAATAAAAACATTTACAGACAGGGAAAAACAAAAGGAATTTATAAAAATATGACCAAATTTATAGATAGATAGATATAAATTCTGATTTGCTGCAATGAGACAGAGTAGAATTTCCCCTTTGAATTTTTTATGACACTAGTATTCAAATACTATACTAAGGAGCTCTGGTTGCCCAGTAGTTAAGCTCTCAGTTCACTCAACTGACTGCCATCAAGTCAACACCGACTCATAGCGACCTGTTGTGGGTTTCCAAGGCTATAATCGATTATGGGAGTAGAAAGTCATCTTTCTCCTGTAGAGCTTCTGGTATTTTGAACTTCCAATCATGTGGATCACAATCACTGGGGCTTCATACCAGCTCCCAGTTATTACCCCCTAAATCACTAGTTTGACTCACTAGCCACTCCGCAGAATGACATGCTGCCTGCTTCTGTAGAGACTGCTGCCTTAGAAACTCCCTGGGTTCTATTCTGTCTCTCAGGATCACTGTGAGTCAAATCCAGCCAACGGCAATTCCATTTTATTTCAAATACCAGAAAGGACACCAAGGGAATTAAGTGGATTTTCCAGATAAAGACAATATAAAATAAAGAGCCTGATGATATATTTATGAAAATCCTATGGTTAACAACAAAATATTTTCCAACTGATTTCAAACATGCCAACAGTTATGAAAATAGTACAGGGCTAGGCATCTTTTCATTATGTTATATATAGGGCCATCATGAATTGGAGTTGAATCAATGGTAGGTAACAACCATGATATCCGTATGTATGTAAGTATATATTTATGCATACAAATGTGTATATAATAATGAAAAAAACTTAACAGGGAATATGCCTTAGGACCATACACATTTTTAATGTGACTTGTAATTAAATAAATACAAAGTAAGCTAATATTCATTTATTATTATCATCATTGCAATTATTATTGGAAATGAGACTTGATTATAAGAAGTACTTCTTATTTCTATCCTAAAAGAGGAATAATTAGCATATCCTTTATTGAAAACAAATTTGAAATGAGAAGGAGATGATTAATTCGATCACAGGCAGTTCCCTAGTTATAAAGGAGATCTTGACTGTGATATTTAAAATTTGCAGGTTAATGGGGGCAGATGCATATCATTTTAGTTAGCCTGATTGTAGTGAAAGAAGAGATTCAAAGTCTTTTCAGAGATTGAAAAGGTGCAAGCTCAGTAAGTGAAAGTGATTATAAACATAGTTGTTATGCACCATCACATCTTTTACAACCCATAGAGATCTACGTACACACAACAAAACACTGCTTGGTCTTCAGTAGGGATTATTTCAATAGTTTCAAGTCAGGACTTCCAAGTAGACTTTCCTGATTCAGTCATGGCTACGTAAGCTCAAAGATGGTGGTACCCCACTCAAAGATAGTAGTACTTTGCTCAAAGTTGGTAGAAGATGAGCCACTTTCATTGTGTGTGGTTCTCCACAAATCTGCCTATATTGCAATATCACACATCACAATCCT